CTATCCCTAACCCTGCAGGAGACGGGGCCTACGGTTTATTCGTTCCTATCCGAAAAGACTAGAATATCTCTCCATTTCTTGATAGAAAGGTAGCAAATTCTCCTAACTTATTTTAAGACCTCGAGTATTGGTCCGGCCGAGGCTCGAACCCTTGACCTCCCGCACAACAATCCGGCGATCTAACCAATTGAGCTGACCTTTCCTATGAGGCGAAATCGAGTGGTCGATGATTTTCTTCTGTGGCGATTTGTTACAAACTTTGTGATACTGTGCGGCAGTTTCGTCGTTTGGGAGAGATTATTTTTGGCATCGGGACGCGCTTTGGGACGCGCTTGGCTGTTGTTAAAATAAAAAGCTGAAGGTTAAAAGTAAAAGTGGCTTCATTGACCTTCGCTAGAGACCAAAAAAAAAATTGCCAATTTAGGAAGGTGGTGCTTGTAGAGAGGTGGCTGTTTTAAAGAGATTGCTGCTTGCGGAGGATCGACTTTGATTTAATAGTTAAATCAGTTAAATTAGTTAATGGAAACTGTAAAACGCTATTCTGGTAGGAAAAAAGAAAAGGGTTGCTTTTATCAACCCAGAACGACTAGGGGAGGATAGAGAAGATCAGAACGGATTGGAAATGAAGAGCAAAATTTAGTAGTTTTTTTTTAAAAAATCTCTACCATGATTTTGTTATACCCACAGGTTATTGAGATTGCTAAACTGATGAAAGCGTACATCAATCAAATCGTCAAACTTCGCAGATCAAGCTACTTCAGTCAAGCGTCAGAGGCCTCAGACTCTTAGCCTCTTATAACTGATGCAAGTGTGAAAAAGCTTTCACCATAGGGTTTTGTTTCTCTTTTCTTTTTCTCTTTTTTTCCTCTCAAAAAAAAAAAAAAAAAAAAAAAAAGTCCCCAAGTCTCTCCAAAAGGCTACATTTTGAATCATTTGGCGTGGGAAGCTGGAGAGAGTGCAAAAGCTACTATGGTTATGAGAGCGAGGAGCAGCTTGTGGTCAGCGTACACGCCCTATTACCCAACTGTAACATGGTCTCAGTGCCAAAGTAGAACACTCTTCGTGTTTCTTTCGTTATTTTTCTTTCAATAATTTTCGTACATAGGAAATCACCGCAGGACGTTTTAAGAGCACTAAAACTTTGAAAACACGTTTTCCAACTCAACTCAACTTACTGGATGTAAAATCCCTTTATTTCCAATTGACGGTTTAATAATACACATACCTATTGCACTGCTTTTTAAGTATCAGAAAAGATCAAAGAGTTTTCTGCTTTAGCTTATAACTTGGTTCATTGCAAAGCAACTAATTTAAACAAGTCAATCAGGGCTCGACAATAACGGTAGCTAACTAGTCATAGACTAGTAGAAATTGAGTTTTGGCTGGTGGTTTTTTATTTCCACCAGTCAGTTTGGCTGGTAAACAAACTGTAATTGTCGTAACATCTAAGTTGTCACTAGCTACTTGGCTAATAAGTTGAAAAATTGCTCAGATCTCTTGGAAAAGAAATTTAACGAAGCATTCCTTGAGAATTGATATTTTGGACTCCTAATTACGAACTCTCAAAGGAATTTGGGTGCCAAAGTAAATAAATTCGTTTGACAATAAAGTGTGATTACTTGGAATACTTTCCAAGTTAATATTCAAAATTATTTTCATATTAGAAACTAGGTATATATAATTCACATGAGTTTGAGGAGATACAACTGTATCGGTTGACGGTGGATGAAATGAAAATTGCTTGTGAATTTTTATATCTTACGTCAAACCATTGTGTTAAAATTGATAATAAGTTGTCAAAGAACAATCCGTCCGCATCTTTGGACTCAAGAAAATATAAGAAAAAAATGTATTTTTGTTGGGGAAAATATCTATTAGTCCATCATAGGTTGTATAGCTCGTTTAATTATTATTGAATATGCGTAAAGTTTATTACGATATAGTAAAAAAAAAAGGTTGTGTGATGTTGGCACCTTAAGATTGAACCTGTGAGTGTAGATGTAATTTTTATCACTTGTCATAATAGATCGTAACGTTTTGATAACAAAATTGAGTATAATCCACATCATTTGTAATGTCAAAGTTAAAATATGTATGATGAAAGAGGATTATTCTTTGAGTTTCACCAAAGTATAAAAAATTGTCGTCATGCCATGTGTAATCAAGAAAACGACTGTTGTCACCAGCGCATGCCTTTTGCAATAGCCAAAGAAAATTAAAGTAACATTCGTGCGCGAAGTTCAAAATCACATGCACGCCAACCATCCAATCTAAATCCAGATGGTGCAATTTTTTTTTTAACGAAAACGAAAAAAATTGTGAAGTCTGGGGAATGAAAGATTGCAGATCGGCATCACAGTGACAACGGTGAAGTTTTCCTGCAATGCTTCGTTCAAATTTGCGAATTAGGAATTAAGAATTATATTCGAAGGGGACAACTCTTTTCACAGACACTTTAGTTCCTAATCTATAGATAGACTAGATAACACGTAACAATTGTTGAAATTGTAATTAAAGCACGATCTTTTTTTATCTTTAGTTACTATTTAAAATTGCTATGCTAACAATTTTACCGAGAAATAAATTTGAAAAGAAACTTTACTTTGTGACTTTCCAATGAAAATGTGCAGTTTACCTTATATGAGCGAATCTCTGTTACAATTCTCTTCAATAAAACAATGGCAAGTGACCAATTCGAAAATTGAAAGACCGCAAGTTAAAACGCGATAATTTGCTTTCCTGAAAGTTAAAGAACATTTCAGTGCAAATGTGATAAAGAATGTCGTGCACCACTAAGACTTTCGCCATTCAAATTTTAGGTATGCTCCAAAGGCTTTTTATTATGGTATTATTATCACTTTGTCGAACATCGTGGCGTATTTTGCAGGCTAAAATGGACACTGGCATTTAAACCTGATAAAATAAACCAATGAAAACTGAGAATCAAACACCTGAACGATGTAAGAAGCCAAGAGTAAATAGAGTGAACCACCACCGCTCTCACCCCTCGTGAGAGTTCCCTCTTATCTGTCCTATTGCCAAACGGTTGAAATCATGCAGCATTTTGTAGCATGATGCCGTGCTATTTTCACGGGGAAAACTATGTTAAGGTAAGGTGGAGGATTTCTCAACGTATATGAACAACTTCGACGTGTTTTTTCTTTCGCCTTTTTCATTTCTTCACAAATGGTTTGTTAACCCATTGATTTTTATCTTATGAAAAATCATTACTCTCAACACTGCTGTAGTTTAATTTCTCGATATATTCTGTCCCTTGGTTTTGTGTTTTTCTCGCTATATTAAAGTATTTATAATACATTGTGCAATGTGGCACAACAATTGGGAACTCCCCTTGCCAATTCATTGAGCCGGGGTCGATCGCGAACCTCAAGAAAACACTCCGAAGAATTGATTTTTTCTTTCTTTTTTTTTAAATCTATTTCTTTTTTTTATCTTTCTCTGGTTTTTATTTCATTTTTCATTTTTTGATTTATTTATCAGTACTTGCCTGGGGCTCCAATTTCAAATTCAAATCCACATATATATCGCTTTAACTCTCCTGGAGGCCCTTTCTTTTAACAGAGTGCAGTAGGAGAAAGTGTCACATTAAATAAATAAAAATGAAAAATAACCTGCCATCATTACCATTCAAACCTTTCTATTCATATAAATGATAGGTGTGCAGTTTCTTTTCTTGTAAAACTCTTTTTTAGGATCAAAAGAAAAAAAAATGAAGCAAAATATAATCAGAGTTTGGGGTTTTTCAACCTACAAAAATGCAAACAAAAAAGTCAACACCTTTTCGGCTTTCTTTCTGATTGCCAGTTGGTTTAAAGGTGGTACAAATCGTGCATGCGTGTATGTCAGCATCTGTTCTGCAATCGGCAGCGATTGGTTGCTGTTGCTTATCCATATTCATGCAAAACTGTAAGATTCATTTCAAACCAAGCTAGTCGTCGAAGCGCGAAGACATGTATGAAGAGTTTCTGGAGACAAGCAGGAATGAACCTGGAATATGTATAAAGAAACGTTAACGACAGGGGAGCGAGCGTGTACTCTACTTCAACAGAGGTAAATACAGTACCGTTGTTGGAAAAATATGAGAGTTTAGCGGCAGAATGTTACTGTTCGTGAGTAACCACGTGCGCGATTTGTCGGCTTTGGGCGTAGATTGCTAAAACTGCAATTCGAAGGCAAGAGTATATTTGTACATCACAGGCGAGAACTGAAATTAACTATTTATGCGACACCAATTAATCCTCGACGTTTGTTAAATGCTACAATATGTCATAAGTTGCTTCCTCCTTTACTGCAGTACTAGAGTTTATGGATTTCAGTGAAGTCTGACAATTTTAAGTTTGCCAACTTATTCAGCTCTCGTGTGCATTTATACGCTGTTAGTCAGAAAATTTGGTAATTCACTCGTCAGTCGATCCAAATTTGACCTGTTACTAATCAGTGGAACATTATACTTTTGTTTTAGGAACTTATCTCTCCGGAGAGGTTAAAAGATGAAGAAATATCTGATCACATAAACAACTGAAACCACTGGAATGATGGGAAGATTCGACAAAGTAAGAAATGCGCATTACTATTTTAAATAATTGTAAGGAAATGGCGACTGAACAAAATAATGTCCAAATATATTCAAGAGCTTCATTGCTAAATTGTATCAGACGAAGCAGTTCTGGGGTACTTATTGTTTGGCAATTCAAAACACAATATCAGTGATAATCAAACAAACTCGTGTAGATATGACATGGTCGCGATTTTTCGATTTGAATCTGTGGCCTTTATTCAATTTTCAACGATACAAAGCATTAAAATGAATTAATGTTGATATGATTTGGATGTTGATGATTAAAACAAAGCAATGACAAGCATGCTACGTTAATGTTTGGTCCAAGTTGCTTGGTTTGAAATTAATAAATGCAAAGCACTAAGTACCGCAAGTCCCCATGATTTTTAAGACCTAATACGGCCGCAAATAGTGCAATTCAGGTGGAACTGCGAGTCTTAAAGAAAATAAAACATTTTCCCAAAACAAAAATTTTAGTCTCCTCGGAAGAGAAGCTTGAGTTGGTAACAAATTAAGAGTATATTTCATCATGTCACTCAAATGATAGATGATGGAAAAGTTTCTCCAGTAGGCTTCGTAAGAATAAGAATTCGTCGTTCAATTAGAACAAATGCATCAGTTGTCAAGTCGTGCAGTTTACTTTGCCACCTTAATTGTATCGATTTGTTTTGGCAATCAAGTTGATAAATAAAAACCAACAAGAGAACAATGGCTATTTTCTTTGTTTCCATTTGGTTTGTTTTAAGAAGAGAAAACAATTATTTTTCAAAACAAAAGTTACTCGAGACAATGAGCCATCAACTATCGCGATACGAACACACACGAAACTATGCATCCAAGAGAATCTTGACTTCTATTTCAGTGAAACTATTGTTCATTCGGACACTTAGGTGTCTCTGGATTCTTAAACTTTGTGAAAGAGTTCCGTAGAACCCCATACATTAATTATGCATTCCATTTCATAAAGACTAAATATAAAGGTTTCTTTGCAACACTCTATGCATAATTAATGTGTGGGGTTACATGGAACTCTTGCCAAACTTTGAAACATTCACAAGCTATAACCAATTTATGAAACTATGAGACTGACAAAACAAGAACAGGTAAAAAGACATTTGTGATGTGAGAAATCGGGCTATTGTGCACCATCGTCTTACAATTAATGTTCGTCAGTAATTCTCTGCTTTTCAAAGAATTACTTTTGAAAGCTGGTTTACTGAGCTTAGAAGAACGGAACAAATACCCTCACCTTAAAAAAAATTAAACCCTGACTACGACAGAACGAAAAAAAATAACAAAGCAACGTAAAAAACGTTTCGTAAAAACTGATCAATCACAGCTACTGTGAACGGATCCCGAGGCTTAACAGCCAATGATAACACAGACTGAGGGAAAACGGATAAATCACACTGAGAAATGGCGTTATCAGCAATCGCATTACTGAGCTGACGATCGACTTACAAACCACACTGTTGACTAGGATACCGCTCAAAGTTTAATCTAAAGCAGACTATTTTCAATAACTGATTTGACTCCGGTAATGACTTGCGCTCGGTTTGTTAACTCATTCACGGACAGAAGTGGATCAATTGCGAGATATTAGAATTGAGAAATTGCAATTTCCGTGATTGCACAACGGACTGACCGCCATAGAAAGCAACCGAGTTACCTTTCTGTATGAAACACTGATAATTTTCTAACCATTAAAAGTACTTCGAAGAATGCCTCCGACAAATTTGATCAGAGACGAGAATTGTCCTATATCGATAGCTCTGAGTTTTTGAACTGAAATTTGAAAGAGTTCAATTCTGCTGAATTTACTGAAAACGAAATTGAATTAATTTTTATATTCGTT